CCAGGTTTGTGGGCCCCTGAATCACGAAATGGTCTACTGCCCGGATGTGAAGGCCCCCATGACATGTCCTAAACTCGGGCCACTTGCCCCTGCAATCGGAGGTGAGCAATGCAGTCACGCCAAACAAGAGCAGCAATACAAATAAGAGCTCCCTTTCTCTCTCTCTCTCTCTCTCTCTGTCTCTATATATATCTCTTACATTGTATCTATTAAATCTATTAAGGATCGAGTATGATTTCCTCTAATTTCCTACCCTGATTTCCTCTAATTTCCTCCCCCCCCCCCACACCCCCAAAACCAAGAGGAAAATCCGATCCTCGAATTTCGACTCCCCCCCTCGATCCTCCAATTTAAAGGGGGGGCTATGAGTGACGCCTGGCTCCAAACAAGCTGGAAAAGGTAGATGACCAAAGCTCTGCACAAGTGGCACAGCACGCTTGCAAGCGCACACCTCGTACTCTGCATCGGGGGAGTCGTTGTATGCACAACTCAGTTTCGGCTGCACAGCTTGCACAACCCAGTGGACCTGACCTCAGCTGCACGAGGTTCACCAATAGCCAGGTCGAAGGTCACGCGTTTACTGCTTTTTACACGACATGGAAACGCCACTGGGTCGCCGCTGTTCAGGTCCTTCACGACCGTCAGCTGCGACTCACCAGGCCAGCCATAGGCTGCTTCTAAAGCAGAGAGCATCCGATGCGACACCTGCCCGTCGAATGCAGCGTGCACACCCCAACAGAGCAGGCAGAAAGCCACCTCCTCCCCCCCACGCCTTGAAGGTCGCTGCCGTGTCCAGAAGCTCCTTCGCAGTGAACTTCGCGTTCCGCGTGAACCTGCTGGATGTCTGCAACACGGGGAGGACGCAAGGTGTGGAGTTGGGGCACCTCTTCAGAAACGAGAGCGCTTGACAAGTGTCCTGAGCAACATCAGGACAGGTCAGGACAGGTCACACCTTCACGTCACAGGTCGAGCTGACGAAGGGATGCTCAGCTAAGGGCCATGTGAATCAAGGAGTCTTGGATGCGATAGAGCAGGGCAAGGCCGATTTGGGCGACGACCCTCCAGCCAGCGACCAGGAAGCGATCCCAGATTCTGCGGACCACTTCCTGTCGCAGATCGCTGGCGTAGAGAGTCAGAAACCATTGTATCGCGTAGTACTCCGAGTTGACACCGTGCCTGGGCTGCCGGTGCTCACGGGTATATACGGAATGAGGCCAACTCACAAAGATGCACTGAAGATCTCTGAAGATAAGAAACCTAATGTACGTTAAGGTTTTTTGTTCGGAGAAGTGGGTGACTTGGAAGGTAAGACACATAGCTGATGTTCCAAATCCTTCCACTCCGGGCGGACCTAAACCCTAAACGACGACTGAAGCCCAATGGTCCCCAAACCTTATCCTCAAACCCCTCATATACGAAACCCCACAAATCCTTTGCAACCTCTTCCCACAATGTCCCCCTCATAGAAAAGGGCACCGCAGAAGCCAGGGCTCCTGGTGAGGGCCGCGTGAACCTTCGGCAGGAAGCCCTCAACAAGGCGGTCGAACTGCCAGAGTACCACACCCAGCTTCTGGAACTTTGGCCTCTTCCAGAGCGCTAGGATTATGGGGATTATGGGCAGGCACAGGGGTTCCCTTACTTGCAGGAATCCACCCCAGCGGAAAGATGAAAGAAATACAGAATCGAGTCGAATCGAGAAGACGCGCAGCCTGCCAAGCTCCAGTCTCCAGCATACTTGCAACTGACACGCTTAGCACGATCTTACATGAACTTACAAGCTCCCCGGGCCTGTACAAGTCCACCAAAGAATGCCGCAGAAGCAGGGCCAAGCCACAGTTGAAAGACGAAAGCTCGTCTTCGGGAAAAACGAGAACCCTCAGATGGCGCTGCAGCAGGGCCCAGCAGGGCACTAGGGGCCAGGGACAGGCACTTGGCGCTGGGAGTTTTCAGTAGCCGACCACGATCTTATGACATGAATACTAGCGAACGCGCCATTGGGACATGACACATCTCCATGTTCGAGAGCTTAGCCGGGCGGATCTACGTGGGCTTGTGATATGCGTGCATACCGTGCAAATCGTGCCCGCAGCGATGGTTCACGTCCTTCAGGAGGAACCCCCAAGACCCTACATATTATGTGTACATGTCTGTGTGTGTATATACATGCATGTGTGTATGCGTGTATGTGTGTATGTATGTATGTATGTATGCATGCATGCATGCATGCATGTATGTATGTATGTATGTCTGCAGGGCTTCCTGTCTTCTAGGCAGATTATCCATGTCTGGAAGAATCCCTTCTGGAAAGCCATGATGCAGGGGTGGACGCATCCTGAGGCTCAGCATGATATTGCTGAGTTTTTGCAGTTCCTGATTGGACGCTCAGCGGGTCTCGAGGACCGTTTGGGCATTACATGGGCCTCCAAAGAGGAGGAGCGAGGAAACCTTAGGTGCCATGATGGGGGTGTTGTGCCGCTCTGTATCTTAAACCTCCTGACAAGTTCTTCAATGGTGCTGAGGGTTGTGTTGCGATTCAGCAGCTGATTGACGACTGGCACAGCGAAGCTCGCACCCATGCTGCCCTGCAGTGCCCTTCCAATCTCGTTTTGTGAGCAGGACGATTCAACTTTGATGTGCACTTTGGTGTTTCTTCGAAACTTCGTTTTGAGAGTATTCCTGATCGTGAAGTGTTGTTTCCTGTTGTCTCTGAGGGATTACACACAATGCACATCCGTTTCCTGCTTTGCGCCATTGCGTTTCATCCAGGGAGTGCACCGACTGGTGGTCACTACAAGGCTCTGATGCTGCAGGATGGCGATGTTTATGTTGTCGACGACGGTACTACTGCTGTTCTTTGCGATAGTGAAGAGTTTGCTGATAGCTGTCACAACTCATATCTGTTCTTCTACTAATTGGCACCTGCATGAGAGCATTGCCTTGCTTAGGGTGTCCGCACCGGGGGCACTGGTTCTTTTGTGTTGCCACAGCAACGCGGAGTTGCCTTGGGATGCGCATAGCGCAGCAATACTGCCGGGACCTTACAGTCCTGTCCCGCTTACGCTCGCAAAGACCTGGACTCCCTGTGCAGCGCGGAAGTCAAGTGAAGTATGTATGTATGTATGTATGCATGCATGCATGCATGCATGCATGCATGCATGCATGTATGTGAATATGCATACATACACACACAAACACACACGTGTGTGTGTGTGGGTGGGTGGGTGGATGGGTGGGTGGGTGGGTGGGGGGGTCTGTATGTATGCAGGTACATACGCATGTGCACATGTATCTGTGCATGTATGCATGCATGTATGTATGTACATATGGTTGGATGGATGCTTGCCTTCACTTACTTCATTTAACAAAGTTATGCGTATAGTGACAAGAAGAAGAAACATAAAACCCGCATGGCTTCGGACGCTGCAACCATGACACATCGTTGCAACGACGAAGTTCCTGAGATCGAGCTGCTCTGGGCCAGGTACAGAAAATGCTGGTAACGGGAGTAGCATTAAACAGAGCACAAGTAGCAAGAACAATAATAGCTGCTAAGGCCCGCACAGACTTTGACAGTAGCCGATTTCGCTGAGTCGAATCGCCAGGGCATGCAAGAGCCTGCCAATTTGGCGGAGGAGCCAAAACAGATTCACGTCAGGAAGTGCATCGATGTACCGGCCTGAAGAGCATGTGCTGCCCATTTCCATCTTCCCTGAAGAGCGGCTCTTGGGGAAGTGTTCCTCAGACCGTAGTGATGACTTGCGTTCAGCTCAAAGGATCAGTGTACACGAAAGTGTCCCACTCGCTTCAGATGTGGCTTTCGATCACAGGAAGTTCAAGGCCAGGTCTCTATGTACATCTCGGCGGATTGCCGAATCGTAAGCACATTCCTGCTTGCAGAGAGTGTCCTCAGTAGCTCCGGACTCAGCACTGCACCGCAGAGACCCACCCGGCAGGCAGTCAGTCATAACCAAGACACAAAATCAAGCCTCATCCAACCCCCCCCCCATCCCTCCTCCTCGTAACGGCCGAACAGGTCTTTACTTTACTCTGCCCAGGAGCATAGTCTCCGGAGTCAGGTTGCAAGGTAATTCCGCCCAGCAGCAGCTCCTGGCAGCATTGCGGTCATCATGACGAGTTGCTTGACTAGCTGTCTCTACAGCCGCTGCTGTCGGACTGTTGCCTGGTTTCCCCAAGACACTCCACGAACTTCACGAACTGGCACGAGTCAGACATGGAGGTTGCATTCTGCTTCCAAGCGGTCTTTGCCGAGCGACCAGTCCCCAAGAACGAGCACAACTTGTAGCGTTGCAGGATCGTCGTTTCTAGATGTTTCTAGTGACTCCAGTAGATGAAGGTGATGTTCAGATTGCGAGTGAAGCCAGAAAGAGATTCTTGACGCAATCCCCTTCCAGTTCTTAGCAATAATCGTGCGAAGCCTGCTTCACACTCCCTGGCCCTTGCTGGCCTTCCAGGCACTCGCGCGCCGAGTCCCCAAGTCTTCGTTCCACAGGGCTTCCATGATTGGCTGCCTCAAGAAAGTTTTGGGCGTGGAAATAACAGAACTGACCGGCGCCACCGAAAAACTGGCTGGTCGAATCAGCCTACGCGTCTCTGTTGCGCAAATCTCGGAGTGCTCATAGCTCCCTGTTTGATTGAACAGCAAAAACATATCTAGTTGCACCAACATCTAGTGCAGTAAGTTGCCTTACTACTAACGCTACAATGCTACAAGTCTCCTACACCCTAAACCCTGTAGCCCTAAACCAGAAACCCTAAGCCCTATCAGCCCTGAGCTCTATGTGCCACCAAACGGCGAGATCCCACCTGGCAGTCCAACGGACCATCCCGGCTGGCCTTCCGAGTCATATAGGGGCCCTGATTGTACTGTACATTCCGTATGGTGATTATAATAAGGAACCCTCGGGAATATATTGGTGGGAAGAACCCTTTACCATCTCGAGGCTCTCAGAAAGATTTGGTGATTTAGAGGTTTGGGCCTCGGGTTTAAGGGTTTAGAGCTTAAGGGTTTAGGGCTCAAGGGCCTTTGGTTTTAAGAGGAGGGTTAAGGGCATCAGAGACTCAGGGCTTCTGGCGTTCGAAGAATCGAATTTTGCTGAGGGAACTCAAGAAAGGAAGCCAACCGGCGTCAGAAACAACAGAGCCTGAAGGTCGTTGACTCCGCTAGAATCCGCCGTAGGCAGCTGCTTCCGGCCGTCACCCCGCCCACATCGCGCAAATGCCATCAACTATAAACCAGAGCACCAAACAGCAAGTTGCTCAATGTCCTCACTTCCTCACTTCAACGTTCCTGTGCCCCAGGGACACGGATCTGGCCTTGGCAGTCCTGGCAGGGTGTCCGAAGTAAAGCCCCCTCGACGAGACGCAAAGCTCAAACCTCAAAGTGACACGAAATCCGATCGACTAGACCTAGACCTGGACCATCAAACAGCTGATCGGAACACTTGGAACCCCGACCCGACTCATGCGCTGTCCTTCCCACGGATGAGGCCCCGCAGATCGGGGCACACGAGGCAACATCTCCGGGCCTGGCGCATCACAGGCTTGCAAAGGGGCCTGGCCGGATGCTACGGGCATGGGCTTGCTAAGCTGCTAAACAACCATAGGATGGATGTCGGCTACAGCTCCAAGAGGAGAGTGCTGGAATGACACCTCAAATCAAAGGGATCCGAATTCAGAACATGCCCCACAGCCTTCACGAGGGGAGTTGCCATCAATTCGGAGCTGTGCAGCTGGAGTAGGGTTGGAGAGGCACACGGTCCATGCCACTTGAATAAGTTTCGATTCACAATCCAAGTTAGTCTACACGACTTACTAGTTGAACTTGTACGACCCCCGGCAAATAAACGGATTAGACAATCGCACCAACAACTTTTTGTAGGCTAGCACGTGGCCCTATGAGTCAAGAGCTAGTGAGGCATCCAGACCACATGCAAAGCAGCATACTTACTTTCTTCCCATCAACCCTTTTCCCGGAACCTCGCCTCGATGAAGCGCAGGTAGTTCAAGAGCCCTGCAGACAGAAGTACCTGCCACGGCTCGGGCACCTCAGCTCTGGCTTTGAGTTAGTTAGGGTTCCAGGGTTTGGGGTTGCTCACAGTCTGGGTCACCGTGTAGGGTTTTGGGGCTTTTGGTGCATGTATGCGGTTTACGGTTTAGCATACCGTGTGGGGAAGCAGCTTACACATGCAACTCCCGAACCAAGGCCCTGGCTTCGTCCGGGGCATCAGGCCCTTGCATCTCGTGCCGCCGACATGGGACCAGCGGAAGGGTTAAAGGGAGCCCAAAAGCTCTGCACCACCCTGGCTTGTGATCGTCGGGTGAGAAGCGATAGCGCTTTCGGCTGACGATTTCTGCTGGGTTGCCTCATATCAAGGAAGCGACCTTGGAGAAATGCAGCGACGAGGCTTCGAAAGGCAGGCAAGGGGCGAGCGCACAAAACCACACCAACAAACAACAAACCCCGCTGTCCTGCAGACTTTGTGGCTGGCAAACCCGTGTATCTTGCAGGCCCCCTTTTTGAAACCCCCAGCGGCGATGGGCTGTATCGCCTCCGCCCAACTGTCATTAACGGTGCGCGTGACGTGCAGTCTGGCCACCTCGGCTGAAAGCCCGAAACACAGTTAAAGTTAAATCATGTTTTGGGCCTGCCTGCAGCGCGAACCGGAGGGAATTAGTGGTGGTCTTGTGGTACTGTTCGACTAGTTCTACAACAGCAGCAGCAGCAGCAGCAGCAGCAGCAGGAGGAGGAGGAGGAGTACTACTACTGCTACTACTACTACTACTACTACTACTACTAATACTTCTACTACTACGACGACGACTACGACTACTACTGCGACGACTACGACTACGACGACGACGACGACTACTACGAGTAGCAGCAGCAGTCGTCGCCGTCGTCCTAGTCGTGGTAGCAGCAGCAGCAGCAGCAGCAGTAGAAGAAGCAGCAGCAACGGTAGCAGTACCAGTAGCAGCCTCAGCAGCAGCAGTAGCAGTAGCAGCAGCACTAGTAATAGTAGTCGTCGTTGTTGTAGTGTGGTCGTAATCGTCCGTAGTCGTAGTGGTTAGTAGTGGTAGTGGTAGCAGTAGTCGTTTTCGCAGTGGTCGTAACGGTCGCGGTCGCTGTCGAGGTCGGGGTCGGGGTCAAGGTCGCGGTCGTGGCCGTGGTCGTAGCACAGCAGCAGCAGGAAAAGGAGGATGAGCGAAACGGTGCAGGAGTACGACGGTAGAATTTCCGTAATCATCACCGACATCACTATCAGCGACTACGGTAACATGAACATCAACGTCAACATCATCAGCATCAACAACACCAGAAAACACGACAATCACAACCACCACCGCCACCGCCGCTGCCGCCAGCCATCGCCAGCACTAAGACCCGCACCTCCATCACAGCAACAACAACAACAACAGCAGCCGCAACGGGAGCAACAACAACGACAACGACAACGAACGAGACCGCGACGGCCACCGCAACAACATCATCTTGAGGATCATCATTGCCATCATCTCCAATACAACAGCGAAACAATCCTCACAGCCGCCAGCTCCTGATCCAAACTCATCACCACTCGGTCGTGATCGCCATCGTCGTCATGGCAGCAGCAGCACCACCACCACTACCACCACCACTACCACCACCAACACCACCATCACCAGCCAGCATCATCGCCATCGTCTTCATTGAGTCCTCATCATCTTCTTTTTCATCATCAGCATCTTCATCAGCAGCAGCAGCAGCAGCAGCTGCAGCAGCTGCAGCAGCAGCAGCTGCAGCATCCAGCATCACTAGAATAATTAACCGGGCAAACATCAGCTCCATCACCGGTAATTCTGTCATCTAAGGCGGCAGCCGGGGACAGCGTCTTGCTGTCAATACACGTCGGAAGCCACCTGCAGCATCGCGGCCCCCAAAAGCGCAGACCCGGCATCCCTGGACTCAAAATCCTAAACTCCCTACTGAAAACCCTTGTCACCCTTGTTCCCCGAAACGAAGCCCGAACATGCTTGGGTGTTCGAAGGCACGCCACCCCTGCCCAGCCGCCTGCGATGACGCGCTGAGGTTGGAGAAGCTGTTCTGCACAGCAACGAGACATGAAGAGGTCGTCGTTGTAAGCCCGTTTGAGGGCGTATGTTTCCGGTGCTGTCGTGGCTACAGAGTCTCATCCAGAAAATCTGGGTTGTGACGGCCGGTTTTCGTGTGTAAACAATTAATCCGGGTGTGGGGGGGGGGGGCGTGGTGTTCTAATTTGGAGCCGCTGTTGGGGTCCTTACGAAGAACATCCTACATGTTACCATATAAACATATAATGCAATACATAAAAGATTTCATAAAATGTCGTACCTTTTAAGCTAGTTCATTGCTAGTTCATTATTATGTGATATAACGTAACATAGCATGGCATAACACTGCATAATGGTATATAGTACGATATAGCATACTAGAGTACAATATGATATAGTACAATATATTATTCTATGATATAATACAATAGAATATCATATAATACAATACCATACAATACAACACAATACAATACAATATAAAAGTGATATAATATGATTTAATGTAGTCTTAGATCAGATAGTATAATATCGCCTAAGATTAATGTTAGTATAGACATAGATATCAGTATAACACAAGATAACATGACATTACATAACATAATCGAATGAAACTTAATACAGTGACATGATATATACCAATGCACTGTTTTCTCTTGTCTGCTACTTAGAGGGCCAAAATTCCGAACAGTCCCCAGGAGCCAAGATGCCGGAGCCTCAATCTGTGAGCAGGTATCCTCCAACCTTGGTCCGGTTCTTTCGGCTGGAAGGATTTTGCCAATCTGGTTGCAACGCTTTTTGTACCTGTGAGCAGAGTAGTAAACAATGGTTGCGTATGCCATTCTCAGCGATTGCAGTACTACTTATTCTGGCTGCTTTGTCTACTTTTTGACGGAAAGACCCTCCCGAAACCTTAAACTCGCCATGGCGTCACTTCTAGGGAAGCCACAGGCTCAAGAGCTTGTTCTGGACCGCCTCGCGCTGCGAGCGCTCCTGTAGGAAGAACAAGGAGAAGAAGAACCATAGTACTCATGTAGCAGTAGTCGTCTTAGTCGTACGTAGTCGTAGCCGTAGCCGTAGTCGTAGTCGCAGTAATAGCAGTAGTAATAGCAGCAGCAGCAGCAGCAGCAGCAGCAGCAGTAGGGTTGTCGGGTCTTCCTAATCAGTGTCTATTGTGAAGCAGACGTTGAGTTGTCTGTGCCATGGGAGGCAAGCTGCAGCAACGGCCCCTTTTGCCCGGCCAGGGCCATCCAACTTTATCCACCTCAGGTCTAAGCCGGTCAGACCATTCAGGGTTTAGGGTTTGAAGTTCACTCAACAGAGGTCGCGCCCCTGCGGCGCTCTCTTCTTGGAGCTTGGCCGGAGCAGCAGCCATCATCCGATACATTCCGAATCACAACCATAGGGGCCTTTGCCTGTTATTGGTGCTCTCCAGGCTTGGCCTCTGACACTCAGAAGGGAGCTGAGATGCGTCATCTACATCTGTGACTTCAAGCAGGTTCAACACAAACCCTGTTCGAGTCGGAAAGCCTCCTGACATGCTCCGTTAGTTACAGGAGGCTGACAGAATTGGGCCCTCCTTCAACTATGGTGCGTGACACTCAAACAGTTACTAGCTTCTCCAAGTGGATTTAGCTGTTTAGCTCACTGAGTACCGTTTCTACGAGACGGAATCGCGGTATGAGCTTCTGAGTTGTGTGTCTGGCATTTTCAGTCAACTTGTGATGTGATGTCGCCCTGATCAGTCGTGTAAGATACGACGGTGCAAGATCACAGCAACCCTAAACCCTAAACTGGCCCTAAACCCAACGGATAACAGTAGCAATGACCGTCAGAAACTTGCGACTTGAACCCTCCCGGTCCTGCTGAATCTCAGTCTGTAGCCGCCCACATACATCCTGATGTCACACATGCTCCAATGACCAGAGCGCTCTGGGACTATCTCAAAGACGTCTCCTCAACCATCCGGAGCATCATGCCCTCTGCTTCGAATCGTAACTGCCTCAGACTTGCAATTGGGTCCCCGGAAACAACGGAGGAAGCCGTAAAGGGTCGGACTGCTCGCTGACAATAGCGTCCTGGACTTTCCTGAACTCTGCCTGGCGCCGATGTCCCTGTATTTGCGCAGTGAGAGCAATGCAAGACAAAATACCGCAACAGCGAAGCAGGAAGGACATCCTGATCAACAGAAATTGCAAAGCTCCAATGTCAATATGTTATGCTTTCCCACCAATCCACAGACTGCACCGTGAAGAAGAGAATAGGATCAACACCAAAAGAAACGAACAGCCAAAAAGTCCCTCCGCGTGCAGGCACCGAAGTCAGAAAGTGCTGAGCAAGCCTCGAGGTGGGCGACGATCTGCTCTCCGTACTCCAAGCGCAGCTGCGCGCGAAGACTTTCCAAGGGTCACTTGAGGCTCACTCAGAAATTTGGACGAGTGAGGGTGGACAAACTTACGAAAGCAAGTGAAGTAAAATGCTGCGACGATGTGCCGCAAGCCAGCACAACGTGTCCCAAGGCATCTTGCAAAATTAGCTACAATTAGTTTGTGCATAAATCTTCTGTCTGTTCGACAAACCTCCGAAACCCTGCAGCCTAAACCCCAAAGCCCTAAACGTCCGACCCGATCACGAAACCCTATCCTGAAAACGCCGAACCATGAATCCTGTTTGAGACCCCGATGTGCGGCAGGGGGCTGCTGTCTGCTTCTCGAGCAAAGCTTGCAGCCTCTGAACCTCGTCACGTTGTTCTCAGCGTGTCTAATCATCAGTACCGCCCTCTGTTCTTCGTCATGACCAGACTATGCTTGCGATTGATTAGTACTTCCGAAACCCAAGCAACGTCCAGTGTTGGAAATCATGACTTGTCCATGGTGTTAATGGTGCTGTAACTCGTGCCTACCATTCTTGTTGTCATTAGCACTGTTCGATCGCGGGCATCATAGTTTTTCTTGAAGTGTTGCCTTCCGCGCGGTGTCGTTACGGTCATGGTAACAGCTACTGCTACTCGGCTGCTACCACGCTTTCTACTACGCTTGTCACTGCTATTGCTCTCACTCCTGTGGCGGCCATGACTGTAGTAGCAGAGGGCTTCGGGTTGAGCTAAGGGGGTAGGGCTTCGGACTCAGCCAAACGATTAGACCTACCAGGAACAAGCATTCTTTGTGATGTTGCTTTGCGGTCAACTTATGTAACAGTCTTGCTCTTACTGTTGCTGTTGATTTAACTCTGTTGTTGGCCGTTGTCGGCAACTGGAGAAAATGGAACAGCTTCGATCGTGCATGCAGATCAAGTAATTAGCCTTTGAGGCTTCATCTTATACTTGAATCATAGTAGCTATTAGTAAGGATGCCCATACAAATCTAAAGACTGCATTCTTCACAAGTATGAAAAGTCTAGGCAGCAACAGTTCCAAGGAAGCCTGAATAAGGTCCGCCGAATGAATCCAATCAAGTGCCAGCCAGAACTAGGAGAGAAAAGGGTATCGTACCTCCAGAACGCTGGTACTGTCCTTTCAGAACCCTTATGAAGACCTTACAGTACCCTAATGGTTATGATTAGTTGTGATGGTTCCGTTTGGGGCAGCCTCTTCACCAACTTCGCGCCCGCAGTCATCGTGAACCTTGGAGCTCCATGCAGCTTGCAGCCCGGTCTGTCAGGACATCAGCCTTCAGCAAATCGCTGCCTTGCTCCAGAAGCTGCCAAAAACATCTCTTAGGAGGGAGCCCCAAACCAGCCGTCTTTAGCACAAAAGCAGCGATGCGCTTGTGGAATCCATAGCAGATCTTGCCAAGGCACAGTCTCCCTCTGCGACTGCTCTTTGAGGAGCTCTACCCGGCAGTCGTCCAATCTGCTGCTGATCGACTCCTGTGCAGATACCAACATCGACAACGAGACGAGCGCGAAGTGCTTTATGGCAACGGACGTATAGTTTGGGCAAATCCGACGGCAAAAACTTGGTTAATAATTGGTTGGATCTGTAATAACGGCCAAACCAAAACGCATAGTTGGGAAAAGGATTGACTCTTGTTCTAAGGTTATCGAAGTGATGGCATTGCCTGGGTTGAACATTGCGCCGGAGGAAGAATAGAGTGCTCCACGGAAGGCAGGGGAAAGAACGAGAAAGGTGGCGAAAGTACCACGACAAGCACGCTGCCTCTCTCAAAACCGAAATCCTGACAGGGTCTGGGATCATGCAGACTACATGTTGAACCTCCACACACTGCCTGCCTCGTGCTTCTGCTCTGCCTGCTGCCTTTCGGAAGCTGCTTTCTGCAGGTCCTCATGACATGCTAAATCGTGCGAACTCTCTACATTCCAAGAAGCAAAGCTGCAGAAAAAGACAAGAATCAAGGCCCCTGTCCGACAGCATGCTGCTTTCCACCACCTTCAGCTCCTTTTGCCTGCTCCGGTCGAAAGTCCGGATGGGGCGCAGCTGGGGGATTCCAAGCTATCGTGGCCAGGTGCACCCGTGAACTGCCGATGCCTTCGTTCATCGTGGATCTCTTCTGAGACACGTAGGGCATGCAGACCTTCCAAGCGCTGTCTGAGAAGTGTCTAGGGGGACGGGGGCCTAGACCCCTTCGATAGGGAGGGGGGCCAACAACAATTGAGGGTGCAGGGACGGGGCGGGGGATGGTTGTTGTTGGACAAAGGGAGGGGGGGGGGGCCAGCAACAACAATGGGGGGACGGGGGTGGTGGTTGTTGTTGTTGTTGTTGTTGCCGTTGCTGTTGCTGTTGCTGTTGTTTGTGTTGTTGCTGTTGCTGTTGGAACGAACGGGGAGGTCAACAACAACAGAGGTGAGGGAACAACAAGCCCCCACCCCTTCCATCGAGTTATATCAAGGGGCCGGCTTTAGACCCCATCCTACGCGGGATTGATGGTTCCAGACCAGGAACCGCAAGCCTTACGTCAACAAATGCCTCTGCACCGCTTCATGTTTCTAAGCCATGCACATAACCAAAACAGAAGCTTACCCTGGACCAAACAAACAATGCGAACTGGACCACTCCCGTTCCCTTGCCATTTCCACAAAACAGCGTGCGTATTTGTGCGTGTTCAAACTCCTCAATATTTCACATGTACTGCAAAGCTTCGTAGAAGAGTTCCCCTAGTTTGCGCATGCGATGGCTCTCACGTTGACAGTAACCCCGCCGCTTGTTCAACTTAGAGCAACAAGAAGGCAGCCCCAGCCCAAACCCTTGACCCTGAAGGGTAGCCAGCACACAGGCCAAAAATGATTTGAGTGGATGTGCATTGCCTGGCCTTCTTGCAGCCTCTTGGCCTGCTCACAGAGGGTCTGGATCCGGGACCCTTCGCCCTGAGACGAAAGCTCGGGCACAGGAAACCGCAGAGGGCCCCTCCCCCCCGCCCCCCTGCCGCCTCCGTGGTCTGCCCGATGCGCTGCTCAAGAAGGGCCACGCGCTTCTCCATCTGTGCACCAACTCGGGGTTTCAGGGTTTGAAACTTCAGCGCTTTGGTGCTTTAATAGGGGTCCGAGATCTGAGGCCTTAGGCTCTTAGCACGAACTTCACCACACCATGCGGTCGGACCTCCGCCGGTGCGCAGTGGGCGTAGGACTTCCTCGGCAAAACCACAAACATGCAGCTCGTACTGTGGGTTGTCGTGCACATGGCTTCCTGAACCATAGACTCCACATGCAATGAAACAGAATCGAAGGATGATCGTCCAAACAATTCAAAAACTGCTGTGTCGGAAGCACGTGTGCTCTGATTCGTCGAAAGCTGCAGCTGAGAGACTCCAGCTGCAGCAACATTTCGCCGAGGTTGCGAGTGCGTCTGGGCGCTTCCTGCATAACACCGAGCACAAGGCCTAGACAGCCGGAAGAAACAAAAGATGCCGCAGGCCTGCAGATCACCAAACAATTGCGCGGCACGCGTTTCGTGAGACCTCAGGCAGGTGCCATGCTGGCGACATCTGATGGAAAGGGTGCACACAACCGCTTAGCAATGCCCTTAAACTTGCGCATCTCATGCATCTGCTGCAGACAACGATTCCAACGCATCGAAGCTCGGCTCACTACAACGGCTCGGTGAGGACCTTGGCCGACAGAGCACGCCTGCTGTGGAGAGTCCCGGGGCTGGGCGGGCCTGCAAAGCATCGCGCTTCTCCGGTGAGAACCTGGTGCTCACGGGGTCACAGCTCTTATCTCAGCCCGTTGCTTTGACGTTCAAGCCTGTCATCTCAGAACAGCAACCTGCTGCCATCAGAGCCCCCGGCTTTGCACTAGGAGACGCCTCAGCGTTTTAGATGAATCCTCTTCTACACTTCTGCCATGCACACTTGCACCTAAGCATGAACGGGTCCTTCGACATGGCACAACTCACAGCTTTTGTGGCAACGAAGCTTGGCCCTTGGCTATGCCGCAGTGTCTGCAAAAGGCCTGGCCACAACGCATGTACTGTGCATGCCTACTGTGCCTGGGCACAGGCTCACGGATGCTCAGGACGGCACCCATCTATTCAGGACAGGGTTCCCGCAATTGGTGCACGAAGCCTCTGCCCCGGGTCAAGAGTTTGGCGGGCCACATGCGAAAGGGAGGCGCCTCGTCCGCAGCCATTCTCGCATGAAGCACGGCAAGCTACGTTTCGGCACACATTCAAAATCGGTTCCCGAAGTACTTCACAAGATTCACTCGGACTCATCATGGATTAAAAGGCGTGCACGTAGTACTGAATGGAAACAAGAAGCAAAGTATCTTTGTATGTCCATGCGGATGGCCAAGCCATCTTTCTGGCTAAACCGCATCGCATCCAGGCCAGAGATTTCGGCAAGAACCTTCCGACACGGCACAACAGGGGTTTCACCCTGCACTTCTTTGGCACGCAGCTCTGCGACACTCCGCTCCTCCGCAAGCCAATCTACGAATCCTACGTGAAGCGAGAATCGACGGAAGAGAAACGGTGGATACAGCAAATCTTTGGCTGTTGGCTGCTCAGCTCCCATCTGCTCTGCAGGCCTGTGCAAAGACAGGATTTAGGGTATGCTGCAGCTTATGTTGCGAGGCCAGCTTCGCAATGCTGGAATGAAATACTTCTGCGGACAATTACAGTGTACGATAGGCTGGAAGCCGAGCCTCGTGCTAGCGCTTCTGCACGGCAGCCTCAAGAGGCCTGGCCGAGAGGCTGCTTCAAACCTGACCTACCCAGTCATCACACAGATTCACAATGACACTAAGAAGAACACCTGTTCAAAAAATGATACGAACGATGAGCATAACTATTTACTAACATGCTCATACAACAACACACACGTAGCAGTGATGCTCACTTCCTTCTTCTTTCCCTGAGGGGCTGGGTACCTGCACCTCCTTCAGCTGCTGGCGCTGGTACGCCACGAAATCCTTTGCCAGTTCGGGCGAATCATGGCACATGGCCGCAGGGAGCACAACATGAATCATACATTCAATGCAGCTTGGGCACATCAAACTGCTGAGTAAACGTGCTGCTGTACATCGCGGTCAGCTGCCTTGGCAAACAGGCTGCGACAGAGAGGATTGGCCAGAGAAGCGTCCATCCAAGGTACGAAATTTCGAGTCTCCCGTACCGAATCCGCCCCCAGCGACTGCTACAAGTGCCGGCAACAAGTCTTTCACAGCTTTCAAAACTGATCCCAGTCTCAACAATATTCTTGATGTCATTAGTTACAACGGCTGCAATCTCCATGACTCCCTGTAACATCGTAAGTGTGTTGAATGCTCGCAGAACTCTTGGTATGGTCAGGAGTGCTAGCGCCACAGCAGCATGGCTTTGCAGCGGCAATTACTGATATTGCTCATACGATCACCACTACGTAGCCCCACTTGTATGCCGCCGGAGCTGCAGAGAGCCGTCTAGAATCCCAGCATGAGCCTCCCAGCAAAGGCACGGCTGATCTTAAGTGCTCACGGAAGGCTTGCCTCGGTCTAGGTCCAGGTATCTAGAAACCCGCATCATTAAAGCACTTGGACTTCCTTCTCTCTTGGCAAGCTCGGCAAGGAACCGCGAGCAGGAACAGCAATGATGGGCAGCAAAGCGCTGTGAACAATCTAGCTTGGCAATGTGAAGGCGTGGACCCGTCCTGCATCAGCGCAACACGCTCCCATTCCTCCGCGGTCTCATCCCGCAAGACGCCCAGTGCGACAGGCGGTTCCCCTGCCAGGGTCGAAAATCGGGAAGCAGGGAATCGAATCCCCGATGCACTCCGGGCCTTGCTCTGCCTCGTACGGCCTACCCTGCCGGTAGGCTTGCTGGATAGGCCGGAAGCTTGGCCCGTACCTTGCGGACGAGATTGGGATGCGGCGGAGCCGGAAAGCGGCCGAGCTGTGAATTGCCATTGCGGTCAAGACACCCCATGGCACCCAAGCGGAAGGCAAGGTAAAGACCTGACAACTGCCGTATTGATCATATCCCTGCGCGACTGCCTTCCCGATCTGCATAGCATCGAGAAGGATTTCATTGGCTTTATCTCAGGACGAGCACACCTCTTCGCCTCTTACTTCAGTCAGTTGGTGCACACGGATGGAGCCTCCGCCAGGGAAGCCTCGGGCAGCAGCTCCCGGGATCAAGGGACCGCATCCAAGCCCGCACTGCATCCAAGCAGCCCCGCGCGTCGAAGGAGATCGCATGCTGCATAGGATTGAGGGGTGCCCTGCCGACCATGGACTCGGCCTCATCGACCGAGACCTGCGAAGACAGTCGAACTACTAAGCTCTCAGCTGTTCTACACAGCGAGAGACCTGGAAGTACTGGGCAGAAGCTTGGATGTACCACTTGTACACGTCGGGGTCCTGGTCAATCGTCTTGACTTGCAATATGAAACCTCTGCTTATATGCATCGTTGCGCGGTCCTCCAGAGCGCCCCACAGGCTTGCAGCCACGTCTTGACCGTCCACCCCCTGACCGCAACTGATGACAAAGAGCAAGACAAGACTTCCTCCCACTGGTGCGCCGGAAGACACGATTGAGAGCGTTTGAGATGGTACAAGACTCCAGTCCACTAGTACATCCCAGCATGCGGAGCCAACCTGGTACAGACGCAGCTGCGTCAGGCCCTTCTCGAAGCCTCGACATCTCACTCTCACTGACATTCAGGCCTCATGCCGTTCAAAAGTTACAAGAGTGCGGGGAAGCCTTCTGCATCCATCTTGGTGACAGATGTGGCAAACTCACCTGCAACGGCGTGTTCGAGCTCAGCTCAGGTTGCCAAAGGTCCCTGTGCACCGCGGAGTCACCGCGCACCTAGGACTTCCAGAGCCCTTTGACGGTAGGGAGCTTTGTGCGCTTCTCGCTTGGCCTTCCATCCAACACACAAGATCAATCTAAGATCTGCGAAGCAGCCCGAGCGAGGCCATGGCTGTATAGATCTGGGAGAGACTCTTCATCGCTTCCTCCTCACCTGGGGCATCTGAAGAGAATCTGGCCTTTCTGCCAGCTGAGCCTCTCAGTCCTCTCTAGAAATGATCTAGGACTCTAGGAAAGAAAATCGGAGACCAGTCCAGCCAAAACGATCACTGCCTTGAAACCACTGGCTCCCTGGCTCCGACTAAAGCTGGCATTTCAGCGCCAAGGCGCCACTCTGGTCCCCAAGCTCCTGGAAAATCGTCTGTGCCTGCCGGGCTGGTGGCGGGCGCCTACTACGCTCCAAGAGCGGTTCATACTCCCACCTCCTGTGCACAGACCAGGGCTTCGGAGTACTGCTTCATGCCGCTCCGCACCTTCACGGCCGTGGCAAAGCCGCTGCTATGACAAGCACACAATGCCCACACAACTTTTCTGGACGAGAGCACGAGTCAAGGTGACCCCAAGCAGCATGTTCCGCAGCTATGAGGGTGAACTACACTGACGATGCAAAGCTTGCGAAAGCTTCTGCAAGCTGCTGGGCCCGCTCCGGGGCTCTTCGCCGAAGTTTGGACAGCGCCATGTCGGGCATATGGATTCCTGCCTCCCTTCTTGCTCCTTTGCAAGTACATCTCCCATCCAGAACCATCCTTCTACCAGCTGAGCTCGTCACGTTCACTTGAATGTGAATGCTGGCGCAAGAAGGGCTTTTGGCAAGTAATGTTCAGAACCTTATGGCCAAAGAAGGTGAGCGTATGCAACGTCTGCAAGCATTCCATCTGCGATTCATCGACGTAGCTCAGCTGGCTTGCCATGGAACCTTGTGGCCAAAGAAGGTGGCATTATCTTGGCCGCTCTCTCTGGACACACTCGTGCACACATCAGACCCTGCTCCAAGGATCTGATACCGATTCTGTAACAAGCACGGACGGTTTCGGGCAATAGACAGAGCCTCAGCTCTTCCTCCAGCCTTCTCCCACGGTACGGCATGTTCACCAAAGTCCCACTATCGCAGCAGCACGCCCCAGTTCAAAGTCAAGCCGACCAAAGAGCAGCATCTCCGCCTCATGCTCAGCCAATTGGCAGATCAACCACGACCATTTTGCTAAGAAAGGCTGAGAACGTCCATCTACTGTGACCGCCTCCAAAGATTACACGGTCGAACCGGCACACAACGCCAGAGTAACGGACCGCGGCGGGCGAGGGTGCACTCCTCTGTCAGCCATCCCCAACCTCTGTGAATGGGACGCTAAAAGGTGGAGCCTCTTATGCTTTGACACCAAGGCCATAAGCCATCTCTCCGGGGCAGAATGCCGCACGTTTCCCTCAAGCCAACCCCCCCCCCGGGCTGGCGGCGACGCGGCGGCCTGGGGCCCAGGGGGCAACCGCACGGTTGCCGTCTCACTCGTCATCCTCCTCCTCGGGCAGCAACGGAAGGATCTCCAGGGCTCTGCAGGGGTCGGCCTGCCCTGGGATCCTTGCTGCAGCACACGCTGCCAGTCACCAGCTGTCGTTAAACAACTGGCAGCATTGCGTGCACGTGTTTGCACAGCTATGAGGCCTGGCAGGCACGTTTCGCCACGCAAGCCGCCCCAGAACCTCGCGCTTCCAGCGCCGCTCTGCCGAAACCATTTCCGGCGTTAAGAACGGCTCGAACCTGTCATCCAAGGGCGGCAGTTCGGCAACACGACTAACCTTGTCGTGAGCAGTCTCCTCCATGTTGCCTGCCGCCGCAGGAATGACCGTCTCGACTCTGCACGGTCTCATGCTTTTAGGCACGCTGCGGCTGCGCTTTTTAACGCGCGCCACCTGGCGGTACTCCAGGAAGGTGTTCGCCGTGCGAAGATCGAAGTCCACCTCTTCCTCGTCTTCGCCTGAGTCAGCTGCAGCCGCCCTTGCCGAGGGCTCGTGGGTGCGTGTTGGCGGGGGAGGTGGTGGTGGGAAATCTGTGGGCAGCTTCTGGCGCTCCCAGCAGGAGCACAGCGATGCCTGTGCACCGCCCATGGCTTCGCACGAACCCGATACTACAAACAAAGATACTGCCTCGATTTTGGGGCTTTACATGCTGCTACACACCTGAAAATGCGGGGCTCCCCATGATACAGTGTCCAAAGCATGGTGCATTGGAAGCTGTGGTGTGCTCGCTTTGCAATCGCACTGCTGCAGCTGTGGTGTACCCCCGAAATTCACAACTGATGCAATGCTAGCGAGACAGCTCTGCACAGCCTCAGCACGGAACCCAAAACCACGGCTGACAGTGTGCGGCCTTGATCCTTTGAGAGTTGCAGAGTGTCATCGCGAGCAAATCATGTGGATCACACATCGGATTGCAGAGCTGCCATTCAGAGGAAAGCGCAGCGCCCGCGAGCAATGACAAAAACATGCTGCAGGAATCCACGGAGACCGTGCGAGCAACCAAGGGTCAAATCTGGACGCTGTGCCTCGGACAGCTTTTTCAGCATCCACGCTTCTTCGTGCCTGGTCGTGCTAGGAAGTCGCAGCAGTTTGGAATCTTCGACTAGTGTCGCACCAACATAGCACAGCTGCAGCAAATTCAAGGGCTGCACGAGTCACGCTGCATCAGAACCAAACAACATGCAATGTCATGCAACAACGGGCAAGCTCGGATCAAGTCAGTGCTCAAACCCTCCATGATCGCTGCCTGTTTCCGATTTCCTGCGTGATGGCCAGCACTTCTGTGGCCTGGAGCTAAACTGCTCCCGGCACCCAACTGAGCAATCACTAGCAGCCCATCTTGTTCAAGTGGGCCACATGTTATGTTTTTGCAGCTGCCTTCAATGTACTGAAGTCTACGCTCGCATCAAGCATGGTTGGGAGCTGCACCAGTGCTAGTGCCTCTTCATTCGCATTGCATTCCTGGAGACAGGCTGCAGAGAATCCCGGAATGTTGCGTTGCTCAAGAACAAAGCTGACGCCTATACAAGGTCTGAGGGGCACAGTCACATGCGATGTGTCCAGGGTCCTGCAATGCGGCGACACCGCCCGAGCCAAGATGGACCAATGCAGACCTGAGAAGCACAAGCTCGTTTTTTAAAATCCGCCAAGTGTGCAAACAATCGTCGTTCCTCCACCCTGTCCAGTCTCTTAGTCAAAGAGCTCGCCCTAAGGCACTGCGTCGCCCCGCGTGCATACGAGTGTTCTGATTGTCATTCATTCGCTATTTATTGGATTGACAGAAGAGAAACATGAGCGAGCTTTTTCTTTTGGGCCTTATGCCTTATGCAGACACCCGGTTGACACATTGGGGAAAATAGTGACAAGTGCGACAAGTGCGCGTCGTCTGTCTGAGCTGGTTGCATCCGCAGTGCCTGTGACGATCTCTTCCGTTTCTTTTCGGACTTCTTACGTCTTTGCGGACGGTGCCGACGAGAAAGGCCGAGGTTCGTTTGGAGGAGTCTTTTCGACAGCCCGGGCCAATACAGTTCCTTCTTTGCTGGAGAGTTGTCGGACTCGACACCGAGCCGAGCAAGACAGATTCTTGAGGGTTCGGGAACGGCCTCTTCATGGTGACGGCTCCTATGTACCAAAATCGGTAGCAGCGCCCGTTGGGCCCCGGCTTTTTTTCCGGACCCCGCAGCTCCTCAACGCGATCTTGGATCAACTGGAGGGCATCCTCGGCAAATGCTCCCCGCCTACTCTGCCTTCACTCCATAAAACTGTAAGTTCGCTTGGGAAAGACTCATGGAGAGGTAGCTGCTGGCTGCTTCATTTGGGAAAAAAACCGCTCCTATCTGCCACCGATAAATTCGCAAGCAAGCGTCGGCATGCAGGCCCCGGACAACCATAGCCTTCACCACAGCCGTGAGCGCCGTGGCCTCGTCGCCCACACCAGGCCCCGGAAGGGCATGCAGGAGTGTTCGATACCTCAACCTCTGCCTGCGAGACCCCCGGAGCACTGAAACTTGCCTGCTTCATAGACAGAGCGAAGCGCTGCACCAACCTCAAACACCCTGCGTATAGGGTGAAGCTTAGGGTGCCGAATACAATGGAGCTACCATTGACTCATGAAAGAAGAATCGACGCCCGCGTAGGCCTAGGCCGCTCAGTCAATGTGGATGTCATGCTGTTCCTCAATTTAAGACCCGACAACTCGCCCGGAATACCATGGGGTAAGCCTCAAAAAGCCGTCTCAGGTTTTGATGGCAACCGTAGCAGTGCCGGTGCCACCGCCGGCGCCACCAACACCGACGCTGGCTCAGACAAACATGCTGTTGCCTATGACGACGCCGACCAACTACACTACACTACCACCATGAGACAAATTATCTGCCATTGCGAACCAACGAACTGTCTGATCAGGATCGAAGACGGAACCTGCCTCGCCCTTGTAGTTGCCGAGTGATCTCCAAATCGTGACGGCCTGCTCCCCAAAAACTCGTCGCAGTGTCTAGGGCTTGTGCGACAGCCTGAAGTTGTTCCGTCCCTGCATCAATCCAAAACAACAGGTATTCAGAAATGCCAATGCTACTCCCGTACTTACACCTCCTGTTTGATGCCTTTCCAACCAATCATAGGTGGATCAATCGCGATGTCAACTGTGCTGGTTTTTCCTCTCAACCTCAACCCTCGTACCACTTATTGTATTCATGTACGCAGGTGTAGATGTTTCACTAGCATGTTGCGCAGTGATGGCACTTTGCGTTAGTAAGGGCCTCTTCGAAAGACTACCGGCATGCACGCTAGATATTACAGCATGCGATTGTGTGTTTCCAGTTGCGCTCCTCCTGCTGACGCTGTCGTTGGGAACTCTTCTTGTTGGTGTTGTGGCTCCTGCTCGTCCTGATGCTCTTTGGCGTTTGTGCGACACCTACCAGACGCTCTGAACCCAACTTGAAACCACCCAAAGCCCAGTAAGTGTGCAATGGTCGCGAGGTCGTCGCAAGACTCCAGACCCTGAACGCCACTCCAACAAAAGCTGAAACCTTGAATGAAACCTTGAATAATAAGAATAAGAATAATAATAGCAACAATAATAACAATAATAGTAAAAATAACAATTAATATCAACAATAATTAATATTCATAATCATTATGAATAATTCATAATAGTAAGAATAAGAAGAAGAACCATTCGATCCCTGGGCCTCCTCCGCAGTCCGCTGCGCCGTTAAGCCTCTCAGGGTGAAGAGCTGCGCCGGGGTTTCGGGTCTTTGGGGGTTTCCGAAAATAAGGGACCCTAATAGAGTACCCTAAATAGTAGGATCCTCATAACAAGGACCCCCCCAAAAAAAGGTACCCTAATTTTCGGAAAGTCCCATGTTTCTTGTTGAACCCTCTTTGTCCATCTTTTCTATTCGCATCCGGAAGTCCTAGCAGGAGGAAGTGTGCAGGGAACCAGGCGCACCCACACAACATATTTAAGCCTAAGACTAACAACCCCTCACCTCAACCAAGGCCTGGTTCCACACAAAGCACAGACGCAGAAACCGCCCTCCGAAATCCAGCAAAGTCACAGCTGCCCCACTACACCGAAGCATTACCACTACCCAAAGGCCCCAAGCGGTCTTCAAAGCAAAAAGTTACTCCTCATTTCCAACATCCCTCGACCCGGACTGGCAAAGCGACGAAGAACCAGAGCCAACCCGTGTTTAGGATTTGGGATTCAGGGTCCCAGGGGACACAGCAGTCGCTGGGTGCAAGCTTTCCGGCCAGTAGTTGCTTGAGGAGACCAGAAACATGCCGCCACAACACCTTTGACTGATATGTTGTATTCATGGGTGCTGCTGCCGGAGCCGCTGTGGACCGTTTGGACAACGAGCTCCAATGCGGCCACTATCCATAACAAAGAGCACGGATTTTGTCAGTCTGTCCAGCAGCCTCCGTTGGGCTCATAGCGCTGCCGCTCCGCAAGGTTGTAGAGTGCCGTGGCCTGACAAGATGGAAAAAACAAAACCCAGAACCAAACTTATCGAACAAAAGGAGTGGTATGGAGTGGTCCATGACGTTGCGATTGGTGGTCAACAGTACTCCTGTCGGGCACAACGGGCTCGTTACCCACACGATGATGACGGGTTCTGCGGCTGGTAGTGCTTGATATTTTCTATGGGTGGTCGTAGTAGTCGTAGTAATCGTAGTAGTCGTAGTAGCAGTCGTAAAAGTAGTCGGAGGAGTCGTAGTAGTAGCAGCAGCAGCAGCAGTAGCAGTAGTAGTGGTAGTGGTGGTGGCAGTAGTAGTAGTAGTAGTAGTAGTAGTTGTTGTTGTTGTAGTTGTAGTTGTAGTTGTAGTTGTAGTTGTAGTTGTTGTAGTAGTAGTAGTAGTAGTGGCAGTCGTGGTGGTGGTAAGGGTGGTAGTGGTAGTAGTAGTAGTAGTAGTAGTAGTAGGAGTAGGTGGCTTGTGAGCATATACAACACCCGAAAAGGGATTTTGGCAAACTCAAAACCCTAAAGGAGATGGTGGGGGGGAAAGCTCAAGAACACAAACGCCCTAAAGGGTGATGTTGGTGAGCAAACCCCAAAGCCTCAGGTGCATGGCTTGTTTGTTGGGAGGGTGTAAATGGTACACCCCTTCCAAGCATAGTAGCAGGGCGGCTTTTGTTGTCGCGGCTGGTGTTGCAGTTTGCAGCAGCCGCAGGATCATTAGCATGAAATCATCATCGTCGTCGTCCCGTAGCATGATGCGTGTCGTGTCTGTTGACAAAAGATCGTTATTTTGCTACCCCCGTAATGAACGAGAGGTGCTTCGCACTTTGCAGCTGTGTATTGCTCAAGACTCTCAAGCCTCGAGCCGTCTCCACCGCAGCTCTCGATAGAGATCCTTGGGGGCGACTGAATGGCAGAGGCTTTGTGTCTGGGTTCAAGGGGGGGCCTTTGGGGTTTCAGTTTTTTTGGCCTCCACAAGGACCCTGATTCCGATTGAGTTCCGAAACGGAGCCGGAAACCACTCCGCGCCGAGACTCCAAGGACTTGAGCAGCGGCTCCATGAGGCTTCCTGCAGCAAGAAATGTTTGTTGTTTCTTGCCTTGCCGTGGGCAGAGGAGGGTATAGGAGGCACTGTTGAAAGATTGTCTGGTGACTTTGATCCTTAGACCCACCTTCCCTCCTGCGCCCCCCAGTCAGTCGTAGAAAGCACTTAAGGCACCTTGGCCACTGACGGACCTGGCAGCGGAGAGCAGGTGCCAGGCCTCGGAACGGCAATCAACGGACGAACTCGCAGTCCTTCCACAGTTGCAGCTTTTCTTTAGTTTGCTCTGGCACGAAGGAGTTGGGTCTTTCTAGCGCCCTGAGCCCCGAGCAACTGCCACGCCCCTCTTGTCTCCCAAGTCCTTCCAGCGTGCTAGCGCCTGAGATGCCATGCTGCACAGGTGCAGTTCTTTCTGCTTCTCTCTTGCACAGCGCTGGGCCTGCTGAGCAAGCCGCTCACCTTCAAGACCATCCCCCTCCTGCAAGTGGCCGAAATTCAAGACACCTGCGGTCTTGTCAAACAGCAAAGCTAATTCGTCGAGTGCAGTCCTGGATGCATGCTTGTGTCAGAGCCGCTTCACATTTTGCCAGGCAGCTGCTCCTTCCAAGCCTGCAGCTCGCGGCTTCACGAATAGTCTGGGCAAAAAAACTTTTGGCCAAGAAGCTCTTCGAAGGTCTGGCTCGCGGTCGACGCGTGCTCCTGCGGGCTTCCCATTTCCTTCTCGATTCCCGTCTGGCACACCTCCGCCCGAATCCCCAAGCCCAAGGAAGGCCGAGACCCCAAAAAGCCTCAGGAATCCGGCAAACTCAGCCCCCGCAGAAGCAGATTCTCGGCACCTTCAGCTCGCTTGACTTGCCAAGTGCCAGCATCAGCTCGGCCCACATCAAGTGAGCGTAGGCCTTGCTGCCATTTACTTCCCACAAGCCGGATTCAGGATGCAGAATGATTTTCAACATAAGAGACAGCTGCGTCATTCGAGCGTATCCCAGGACGACGCTGTCTCTGCCGGGTCCCCATCACGGCTCGCTACAACCGTTGCCGAAACTACTATGGTAACTCCTGCTCCAGCTCCTGTACCCGCTTTTGCTACAACCGTCCCCCAAAAAATTCCCATGGCTGTTACGGTGCAACGGGTGCCTGCATGAGCGCGTCTCCCTGCTGCGATGCCTCCAGCTGTTCGCTGGCGAGGCCGATGGCGCCCTCAGGCTGGCCAGACGATGATACTCAGATAGGGTTCCCACCAGGATTTCTAGTCGGGTTAGCACAAGAGTATAATATAGGGCATGCTGCATACTGTATACTATAAGCGACTATAAGTATGACAACGACTATGAAGGAATACTATTGCTTTGCAGATTGATAAGAGACGGCATACGAATAGAAGAGCCGACACTTATCACACATCAGCCATACATGCTGGTTGCTCCCCACGGTTCCTCGATATCACCGCTGCTGAAGGTGGCACTGACCTTGATTAGCACGGAAGAAGTTCGGGCAATGCTGGACATGCTGCAAGCTGGGCATGTTTCCCCGTCCCATTCACGGTCATGCACTAGCTTGACACGACAGATGCGGCCGAATATACTGCGCCGCACAAAGTACCCCTGAGAAGCAAGGATAAGCAAGGCATGTTGACGATTCATGGGGCGGTCTGATCCAAGAGCTCGACCACCAAGCGCGATGCGTCCGCAGCATTGTCAGACTCCCCAGCCGCATCGAAGGCAGTTGTTGCTTTCCTGTGAGAGCAGCAAACATCGCGGTCTGTACTGGTCTGTAGGCCGTGAACTGGCCGACCAGTTTTGAGCCATGCATGCCTTGGATTTAAAAACACCTGCCATAGAAGAAACTGGCACTCCGTGAGCCCCAAACTCAAGAAGCACCAACGGGCACATCGTCCTGGCCAGCTCAAGCGCTTCCTCTGCATCCGATTCGAGGATGTCCAGTGCTCTCCACAGCCACCTGGTGCTGCGCGGCTTGCAGACCGCTCTTCGGTTACTTCGGCAGGGCCTTTGCGCTTCGACGTTGGCGCCGGTAAGCTGCGTGATGCTGCCCAGCATCGACATGGTGGGGTACCATGCTCTCACGAGACAAGTGCTGGATTTTTGCGAGACTGGTCGTGAGCTGAGAAGTTGTGCTGGTGCTGGCAGGGATGCACACGGAGCTGGTCACAAGGCTAGCACTTTCAGGTACAAGCCAAACGAAGTGCTTGGGGATGGCGGGAAGACCAATGGCTGCTCACCCAACATGGCCACAATGAGGAGCCTCCTACGGACCTTAAGGGAGTAACGGAAATATATGGAAACCCTACACCGAGAATCCCTGACATCCCTCGAATTCCCTCTCGAATTCCCTCGAACCTCCTTGTCGGAACCGCGACAAGCCAAACCTCCCCAGGCCGTGGAGTTCTGTAATGGATCACTTCCTCACGAAAACTCTCGGTGCATGTGTGGGTTTTCGGCAAACATCGCGGCTTTGGCTTGGCTGTACACGACAAGCTGGACATAGCTGGACGAAGCATCCGCCGATGCAGAACTGCCAAATACACTGCAGCGGCCAAGCCATTTAAATGACTTCGCAGGCTGCGGCTCCGCGGCTCTTTGACAGGCGTCGGTCTGCGAACTTCCGCAGAGGCAGTACGGAGGCTACTTCGGCAAGCCGAGCCTGACCTTGGCCGGACAGAAAACGGAAGGACCAAGCCGACAAAGCAGGACTTCGAAGCCTAGGGCCGAGGCTTTCAGATCTTTGAACTCGACGTACATCTTCTCCTGCACAACTCACGGAATGAAAAGCAACAATTACACCAAGCATGCGTAACCGTAATCCGCCTCGCCCGCCCAACGAATGGCGACCTCGGCATTGAGTGACATAACTGCCACTCTGGCTTGAAAGCCGCACGTCAAATGCTGCGACACGACATGACACGACTACTACGAGAACAAGGAGGAGGAGGGGGGAGGACGATGACGAGGACGACGGCATGAATGAGGGAAACTGCACGCGTGAGGAGCACCGTTAATGCCTCGAGTAGAAACAAACATGTTCGCCAATCACAGCGAGCAGCATCAAAGCCCAAGTTGACAGGCTCTGTGAAGCCCCGCAATCGTGGGTCCATCTGGCATTCGCATGGCCATCTTGAAGAAAACTCACAGCTGCACAGGTCCCCTCCGAACCTCCCGCAAGTCTTCCGGGACAAGCTGCACCTTCACCACGTTTGCAATCTGGTCCTCAGCAGGCATGCCTCCAACAACATTGAGACGGATCGCTCCGTCCCGAGACGGTCCTTGAAACAGCCCAGGTATCATCTGAAGAAAGTCGACATCTCTGAAGACGCTAGGGCAAGCCAGGCTGCTAACATGCCATCGACGATGACGGCTTCGATCCCTTTGACCTGGGCATGCGGACACCGCACAGACCCACGCTGCCAAGTGCAGGGGCACCGGGGCTGAGGCATAGCGGCGATCGGTAAACTGCATCCAAAGGACCAGCATGACCCTGAGAGGAGGCGCCCCCGTCCCAAGGGCAGCCGAAGTTATGGAGAAGCAGTCCGGGAAACCTAAACCCTAGCCGCGACCAGCCTGATCTCGGGTAGCCAGATGCCGCTGCTGTATGTTCCCGCTGCAAGCTCGATCGGAATCACCTCGCAGACTCCAACTCTGGAGCTCTGGGACTAGGAACCCCGTTGTTTGCTGCGCCGCCAGGTGGCCAAGGGGACAACTTGATCTTCGAAGCAGTCGTTGAAGAGTTCTGCGGGCGAGATCGTGGCAGTGGAATGACACGCTACATCATAGGAGACGAAACCCCCACGCCACAGTGGACGGAAAAAAAAACACACACACACACACACACGAACGAAAGTCGTCCGGGGTAGGCCTCGCAGTGGCAGCTCCAGGAGGTGGAGGATCCAAGGCAGCGGGTGCAGCCAATTGAGCGGCCGGCTGGGAGTCATCCACTCGGAAAGGATGTAGTCTCGGAAGATTTCTGCCGCGCGGACTTCTTCAAGCAGGCCACTGGGCCACTCAAAAATAATCCCCTGGGGCTCAAAAGCCTCATACTGCGCCCGAGGCTCCAGCGACTCGGCGAGGAACTGTACAGAGGGAGGCGGGGGGGGCTCTGGAGACTCCGGATCCTGGGGTGCTTCCTGGCACTCTTGAACCTGAGTCCGGAGGGGAACCACAGGGAGAGAAGTCCGCTGCCAGGCATCTGTGTTCACTTTGTTGAACCACGCCACGATGTTGCTCCGAACTCGCTTCCGCACATAGCCCCCAAGACCGGCACCAACCCCAGCAAAGCAGCCCGTGAAACAGGCGAGCGGCAGGATACTGTGCACGCCGGCCGCGAGGCAGGAAAAAGAAAGGCAAGACATACCCGCCAGTATCCCAGTCGCAGCTTCGCAGAAGTTGTTCTTCCAGCTTGGCGCGTCGGGCTCCGAGGTTCGCAAAGGCAGCTGAAAGTTGCATGGGTTCAGAGGCATCTGTCCATGAGTGGCTCGAACTCCTGGCAAGGAATCCTGTATCGCCCTTGCGAATCGGGCGCTCGGAACTGTGCTGGGAAGGCTCTGGGAGACCATAGGGGGACAAAGAATATAAAACATTCGGCAGGCCGCAGAGGAGTGATACCACTCCTCAACGGCCCAGTTCGTGAGCTCCGTCATATACTTGACCACAAAGGGGGAGGAAAGGAAGAGGTAGTCCAGCACTCCATGCAGGGCCTCGTTGGCCTTTGTGATCTTCACATCTTCAAAGGCCCTTCGAAGGCCACGGCGCTTCTTTCGGGTGCAGGCGGAAGGCAGCTCTTCCTCGAGGCCCCGGGTCACCCAGCGCTGGTTCCCGAAAGCATCGAAGTCCAACAAGTGGATGCACCTCAGCGAAAAGGGCAAGGCCAAGTCTGCTAAGGCTGAGTTTTTAAAGGGCCTGGCTGCTTTGGGGCCCGGGAGGTGGTGCTGCCTTTTTTCGACAAGGCACACATCCAACAACCCTCCCGCCAAAGAGGCCGCTCTAGGCTGCATCAGCATGTCGGAATCTACAGATACAATGACCCAGTCTTCCATGGCTCCAGCAGAGAGCGCCAAAGCCGAGGAGGTTGCTGTGATCTCCACCCACCGGGTCTTACAAATGGCTCGGACTGCATGGGCATAGTGACCGTGGTTCACCATGAGACCAAAGGAAATGATGTCCACCCCCGGGAGAAGTTCGGCAACTCTTGCGAGGGCACCGTCTGCACTGGCCACATCCCGCCATCTCTTCAGCAAGTTTAGCGCCTTCACCGCCTCTCGGTGGTCACCTTTCGCCTCTGCCAGAAGAGCTGCGATCAGGTTCGTGCCAGGCAGCCTCAGCAGCTGCACAACTCCCCTCTATCACTGGAGCTTCTGCTTCAAAGTGCTCAACGAAGTGCAACCTGTGCACGTCCTACAACGTGTTTTGTGCTTCGTCAACCAAAGCGGCAATCCAAGATCATCCTGCACTGATAGCCCTGACGTGCACTCGAGATTCTAGAATACATAGAATACGAAAAGTCAACTCGGAAGATCGGTTCTCTAGCTAGAAGCTACCCCCCTGTACATCAACATGTGCAAGTTATAGTCGTCAGAGTATCATACGGCGAGTGCCCTCCAAGCCGTGACAGCAACAGTTCGGGCTCGGCTGTTTCAGGCGATGCTGGTTCCGAAGAGGAAGCGGCGACACTCTCTCTCGCAAACACCCAGGACAGGATTTCAACGCCCCAGTTCCCGGTGCTTGGCCAGGCAGCAACTGTGCCAGCTGAGTGATCGCCCCCTTCCGGCCCACCATCCGGTGCAGGGAGAAGGCCCGGGCGCGCTCCGCCTCGGCGTCCAAGCCCCGGAACTTGTGAATGCAGCAGATCGTGTCCGCCAGGCCGGGGATGTGCTCCCCAAACTTCGTGATGTAACCGTTCGCACCCAAAGGGTTCTTCCGCCGGGCCCTCCGGAACTCCTCGGAGCGGCCCGTGGCCCGGTGCAGCGTCTGCATGACCTGAGACAGTGGGATCCCCACGTCCCCCCACACAACCAGAACAAGGAAGGCCAAAAAAAACCCACACCGATCGGTACTAATATTAGTACTCAAACTTGACCCGGTGACATTGTTGAGAAGCGGCACGTGCTCTGCGCCCCGCGCCAGCCGCCCCGAGGCCCGCAAAGGGTTCGACGCCCGGGCCCGAAGAAGGGATTCCTCCACCAACTAGCAAGCACATCTAGAGTAGCACTCAAATGATGACCAAGAGAGGCCGGAGATAGTGCAAGGGGGGGGCCAAGACGACCTCCGACCCCGAAGACTATGTGTCGCGCTCTGCCGCCCTGATCTACTCTTGCTTCCCGGCATCTCTGTCCTAGGATCATCACTAGCTTTCGTTCTGGTGCAAGGCCGGTATTTGGGACAATGCCGGGCATGTCTCGATCAAAGCCGTGGCCGCCGACCTATTGTGTGCCTTGTCTTGTCTGCCAGCGCCGGTTAAAAGCGACTGACGCCGTTCCTTCACTCCGGTCCTCGTCGCCGGCCCGGTTGTGCAGAGCCTGCATGACATTGTTCAAGATGGGCAGCTTCTCCAATGCTCGGCCAAAGAGTCCATTCCTCAGGAGGTCCGGGGAGTCCTGAAGGCAGGGGAGCTGGGAGCTCTCAAAGCGTCTGGCTCGAGTTTTTTAAAAGGCCGCTTGGCTTGGCTTACACCCCCAAAGGCCGCCTCTTCCCAAAGGGATTCGCGGGATTCCAGGGACTCGTCCTCGTCCTCGAGGGGGTCGAAGAAGCGTTCGTTGGCCTCCATCGCACCCAACCTTGCATCCTGAGTTCGATCTGGTGAGCAAAACACGCTGCTCGAGCTTAGATGTTGCTTCTTGTCTCTAGGCTGCTTGTTGGTTCCCATTGGTTCTGTTTTTTTGCTTTTGTTGCTGAATTAATCATGAGGGTTTTTGAGCCTTGCGCGGAATCAGGGTGACAAGACTTGGGCACATGTTCTCGGAGCGGCATGGTACCATGGGGCTTCATCGTGCAGACTGCCACAGCCTCTTAAAACTCGGCGCTCTTGGCGTCAAGGTGAAACGCTTTGTACACGGACCATCGCCATCTAGAAAAACTCCTGAAAGCAGAGAGACCATGCACAACGCTGCGCGAAACTGCGGAGTGAGACAGCACGGCCCAGCCTCTTGATCGCGATCGTTCGGATCTAACTTGGCTGATGAAGATGCGCTTGTCCCGGCTTTGGGGTAGCCAGCCTTGGCGAACGACGCTGTCAAACAGTACAACGGTATAGTGATATCAAAATCAACAGCGTGGATGTCTACCTAGGTATGTGTGTATATGTATCCAAAGTGTGTCTGTGCATATGTGTATATATATATATGCACATCTATATATATATATATACATTCAGATATCTGTATTATATGAATATGTACACGCATGTGTGCGTAAGAATCAATATATATATATATATATATCAGTTTACACGACCTCCACCACTCGCACAACTCGCTGAACCGCCCTGGATCACAGAGTTCTTTTTCCTCGCGATCGGGACGTGGGACATGATCGCGTCATAGATCGGATCATCAAAACTTCACTCGATCTTCACACGTCCGATCGGAACCCCGATCACCGGGTGTGCGCATTGGCATCGCCAACGACCGCAACATCCATCCGATCGAACACATCAGATGAGCGATATTCCCAGGCCCTCAGACTCCTTTGGGAGTATCA